CCGCCGGCTCCCCCGGGAGCCCCGCCAGCGGGGCTCGGGCGTGGGGCGCTGCGAGCGAGCTGGCTCAGCGATGGGACCTGCGCGCACCCCTCTTAGGTGTGGGGTAGGAAAGGGGAATCGGGCAAGGGCCCTAGGCCAGCTGGCGAGAGCGGCCACTGCAGGCCTGGGCAAGGGCGTGCCCACCAGATCCTCCTGCCCCGCCCTCCATCCTTTGGCAACTAGGGATCCCCAAGAGCCCTGGGATCCCCGTATCAACAATTTGCCTGGGGACATCTCCCCAGTGGGTAACCAGTTACCCTGACCATTCTCCTAGACACCAATGCCCTTCAGTCCTCTGCCCCAAGAGCCCCTAATTATCTGCCCTGCAATGGTTTGTGACCCTGGGAAATTTCCCCTGATAGGGGCTTGCATTCCTGAAAACCCCTAGGCCTGGGGAGCCAGTGTTTCCCTCCACCCTTGTCAATGAAAACATTTCCCTCCCAAAACCGTGGTTTCACTTCAGACTCTTGCCCAATCACACTGCAGCCTATTTAAAAAAAAAAAAAAGTAGTTTCTCCTAGTGCCCTTTATTTCCCCACTTTGCTTTCTATCCTGACCCCACTATTTTTTCTTAGTCTTTAATCACCCCTGGACAGGAAAAGGATCCTGTCCCTGGTCCATTTTAGTGAGGCTCCTGGGTCAGTGGTCGCGGCTACAGAAGTCAGGATGCACCTTCAGGGATAGCAGTCACTGCTAGCTGTCCTGTCCTGTCCCCTGGGAACATAGAGGGGGACCTGCCAGAGCGTCTGCTGGCTCTTGCTTTCAGCTCCAGAGCTCCTCGGTTTGCTGTTCTCTGTGACTAGGAATCTTTGGGAGAGTTTCCCTGTATTTTAGAAAGAGATGCTTCTAAGGCAATCTGTTAAGACACACCAAATAAATTTCTAGATTTTAAAATCTCCATATTATAATCTCCAAATTATAGAATTTTAAAGGACTTTTAGAAAATATTTGATCCAAACTTTTATTGTATAGGTGCAAGGAGATTTGCAGGAGATTAACTGATACCCCCAAATTTATGCTGGTAGAAAATACAAGTGCGCGCCAGGCCATGGAAAATGTGATTTCTAAAGAGTTTTCCAACCCTGTGAGTTCATGTTTTGTCCTGAGGTGAGAGATGGGGCGCATGTTCTTAGGTCCACCCCCTTTCTGCCCTGAGGGCTGGAAGTGTTTGCCCTTCACTTTGGGTCACCTTTCCTAGCTGTAGGTGGTTGCCTTGCTGTCCCTGTCACCCAGGTACTCAAGGACAAGGAAGAGGAAAGTCCTTTGTAATCAGGAAAGCTCAATATAAATATTAGTCACGGATGGAGAAGCCAAGAGATAGTCCCTGAGCGGTCCTTCTGGATGGTCAGCGTGCTGCCTTAAAGGCTTTGTATGGTTCTGGGAGAGAGCCCTTTTATTAGAGTGACTTGCAGGACAGGTTTCTGCCACCTCCAATGCCTGGCCAGCCTGTCTTGACTTATCTCAGTGACTTTGAACCTCTCTGTGCCTCCCCGGGGTTCTCTGAGAGGTGACATGGAAGGGAGCGGTGTAGTTGAGCATGTGAGGACTGGATCTAAAAGAGAGGCCCAGCTGCACTGCGGGCCAGAGGGGACAGGGGAACTAGAAGGGGAGATGGGGTCTTGGCAGGTGGGTCCAGGTGGGCATGCAGCCTAAAGGAAAGGAGATGGGGTTTTGGAGGGGAGGAGCGAGCTGTTTGAGTTAAATTGTCTTGATGGATAAAGAGGATTGTCTTTGGAGCAAGACGATACCTTAGGGATCACTAAGCTGGTTTAGGAGTGGGCAGGCTGGTGTGGGAGGCTGGGGGGGGGGCAGGGCTCCAGTTGTCACTGATTGTCTCCAGGGCTGCTTAGCAGTGACCCCTCCTAGCTAGCCCCTCCCCCACCTAGATTCTGGAGGGTCAGGGTCAGGACCTGCATCTCCTGTGCCTGCAGGCCCAGAACCAGCTAAGACAGGAGAGCTGTTTTGGAGAGAGAACCATGAGCTGCGAATGGGACCGAAGTCTCCTTCCACTGGGGCGCTTCTCCCTTTCCTGCTCTATCAGTGGGTGTCAGTTTGGCGCTTTAGGTCCTGGGACTAGGAAGTAGACTTGGCTTTTAAAATTATGGAATAAAAGAGCACCGAGTTCAAGAGATCTTCCAGATGACCTAATCAGGCCTTGTGGAGCAGATGAGGAAGGTGAGGTGTGGGGCTGCTCACACAGCCGCCAGTGTGGGGGTTTGGCAAAGGGAGCCAGCGAGACCCATTCCTGGGACTCCAGAGTGTTCCGGCTGGGCACCTCTGGCTCCTGCACCTCTCAGAGTGAAGGCTGCTCTCCCACAGATGCCTTGTCTCTGTTTGAAATAGCTCCTTGCCTGTAATCACCCTAACTCCCTGGTCCTGTGCACCCAGCATTTTGCAGGCTCCCTCTCCACTAGGCACAGCGTTTTGCAAAGACAGACCAGCAAGGATGCCATCCCGACCAAGAAAGCCGGTGAAGTCCCAGTGACCTTGTTGGATCAGGATTCTATGGGGACTGCCATGTTAAATGCCGTGACACGTGATGTGTCTTTCCCAGGAACTTGCACAAAGTAGCTGTCCTTGGGTTAAAGACCCAGTAGCCACAGAGAAAAGTAGGAGGAGCAGAGAAGGCAGTGGAGAGCAGTGGGGCTGGCTCTGTTGGGGGGGGAGCGGGGGGGGCGTCCACTCAGCAACAGCCCGGGGCACCGGGGGTGTGGAATGTGGAGTTGGCACCAGTGCTGGCTGGACACAGTTGTGTGGGCCCTGGACATTCCTGTCCCCACGCTGTAGCTCTCGGGAGGAGACTGGTGGGGAACTCAGCCCCGGGGGTGGGGGGCAGACACTACAGACTTAAGGAGGGGTGCCCACACCACTGGAAAGGCTCCAGATTTGGCTTCGTTCTGCTTTGCCTCCCACCCCTCTCGGCGTGACTTTTCTTTATCAGTAAATTCCACCTAGATTTCCACGTTGCTTTGTTCTTTAATTTTCCACCCAACTAAACCAGTACTCCTCATTCGCTTGCTTCTATTACCCAGTTTTAATTAACCCCATCCTTAATAATAACCTCTGTGTGCATTCCCATTCAACCTTAATTGAATTCTCATTTCAGCCCTAACCCTAATCTATTACAGACTCTACTAATCTTAGAACCAGCCTCCAATTGAATGGTCAATTTTATCCGGCATCTTAATTCCAACCTGTTAAAAGCCAGCATCCAGAATTGCAACTTGCGCATGAGAAAAATGATGACAGGTACCGCTTCCTGGGGAGCTCCTGCGTGGCAGTCTTGCCGGGTGTCCTACCTTGTCAACACCTCGTTGAAGTACCTCAGAGTCCCTGAATGGTTGGAGTTACTAGCCGTCTTACAAATGGGAGGAAGCAAAGGCTGGGTGAGATTATGGAATTTGTAAATAGCAGATCTAAATCCGGTCGTGAAGGTCTGCTTGACCTTGGAACAAGTGTGCATCCCTTTTTCTGCCAAGAAATACTGTTTGATTGAGATTTTCCTCAAATCTTAATTTGGGGACAAAGTGAATTAGCATGCTGTTTCTTAAAAATATATGATCGGTTCACTGTTTTTAAAAATAAATAGTGGTGTGAAGTGGAAACCAAGCTAGCAGGAGCGCCCGATCTTCCGACCACATATCCCACTGTCACTTTGAAAAATGAAAATAATATGAATAGGTTCAGAAAATGAGGTAGGCAAACTGTAATGGGAAACAGAGTGGAGGAGAAGCCCCTTCTCTTCCCCTTTGTCACACTGTACCCCCTCCCTCAAGGGCCACCCTCCAGGAACCCTGACACCAACATCTGTTACCCCCACCCCAGCTGTAAGAAAGGCAGAAAAGCCGGTAGCTAATGATGACACAGCCTGGTCTGCGCATGCCTAGCAGAGGTCAGCAGCCATCAGGAGTTTGCTCACAGTAGCCACCGAGGCAGGGGAGGGGGAGCAAGCTCTCTCTGGGTTCTCCGCATCATGACACTGTCACTGCCACTGTTTGTGGCACAGGCCCTTCCACTTGGACATCTCTGCAATGCACAGAGCCCCTACGAGGGCTGCCTTGCCCCTCCCCACAGGTGAGCACCGTGACATCTGGAGGTGGCCAGTGACGGGCTCAAGAGCCTTTGGTGGTGACGGAGAGACCCACATGGCAGACACACACCTGCCTTTGCCCACAGCCACCTGTTACCCGTCACTTATAGGAGCATCTTATAGGAGCCTGGCCCTGGGCCTGAAGGAGAGCACAGAGTCGGGGAGTTGTTGGCAAGAGGGACCCCTCATGGACTCTGGCAGGTACACATCGAAGTGGGAGGGGACCGAAGGAGATGGAGCAAAGTGGGCGGGAAATAGTTAAAAGGGGGAGAGTGATGGAAGCTGGTGCAGATGGAAGCAGAGACCTGGGAAATTTTGTGTGATAAATTCAGCAAAAATGAAATGATGTGCTAAATGTGTGTGCCACTGTGGCTTCAGCTGGAGGCCAATAGATGTGTTCTGGAAAGATGGCAGGCACACACAGCCATCTGTGAACAGCACTCCCGTGTCAGGTACAGGGTGCCCGCCGCCTCTCCCAGGAAATGCACCTGCATCTTGCCCTCCCCTCCACGCTCCACCCTATCAAAGGGCTTGTAATTTCCCCGACGTGGGACGGAGGTGCACGCCTCAGCGTCTTTGCAGGCACTGTCTCCTACCCCCGATTGTCTTCTCGTTAGTTAGCCCGATGAAACGTGTGCTTGTGTTTATCCACCCACACTTGGAGGGGTGTGGCCGCCTCTCTGCAGCCT